TACAGAAGAAGAGTACAAAAGTACTTTAATTTTTGTCTTCCAGATATTAAGCCATATTATGTTACAATAATTAGTGAGACAGTGAGGTAGATCATGGAAGAGAATATGAAACCTAGAAATGGATTTTAATTTATATGGGAACAGAGTAGATGCAAAAGAAGGTCCTCAGATCATTGCAGAAAAGATACAATTATCTATTAATAAATTGGGACCAATTTGCTTCCTGTTTGAAAACAAAACAAATTATAATTCTTACAATAAAACTATAAATCCTAGTGAATCAGCTTTATTTGAAAAACATAAAACCATAAACATTTAAGAGGAAAATTTGCTGACATATTTTTATAATCTTAGGAAAAGGAATAAAGGCCTTTCTAAGCACAAAATGATAAAATATCTCACAAAAGAAAAGTTTGAAAGCCTTGAATGTCTAAAAATTAAATTTTTATGTATGGCAAGAGCACTATAAAAGAACTTCATAAACATATGACATGCTTGGCAAAAGGTTTTGCAAAATACTATTAAAAATAACCATTTTTTAAATCTAGAAATAACTCCTGCACTTTAAGAAAATGACGAATAACTCAAAAAGAAAATTGGGCAAAGAATATATATGATAGCTCTACAGAAGAAGAAATACAAAAGATGAGAAGTATAAAAAAATGCTCATTTTCAATGAGGATCAAAGAAACATCTAAAATAATAAATTTTTGATCTGTCAGATTTGTCAATATTAGAAAAAGATTGTCAGTAACAAGTGTTGGTGTTGATGTGAAGAGATAAACAAAGTCATACATTGTTCCTGGGAATATAAATTGATAGCATATTTTAGGGTGAAAATTTCCAAATATCAATACACATTTAAACTTACATACCCACTTGCAAATTTGCTTCTGTGTTTTCATAGATTAACTTGCCAAAAGTGGAATTGCTGGAACAAAGATATTTATAAGTAATGTTTATTTTAACATTGTTTCTCATTTCAAAGCATTTAATGAGTAAAATGATGGTACAAAGATTGGAATACTAGAAAACAATTTAAAAAAAGAAAGGCAGAGTAGCTATTTTCATGTTTATAAACATATATGTCTGTGATATTGTTCTGTAACCTACTTTTTGAAAACTATATCATGCTGTGTATGCCGCACTTTGTACATCTGTTTATAAGAGGCCCAGAAGGTCATATTCCAAACTGGTAACAGTGGAGACGTGAACTTGTCAGCAGTGGAATGGAGGTAGAGTAGGGTAAAGGGTGGATTTCTACTTTTATCTTTATACAATTCAATTCTGTTTCAGGTTGTACTCATCAAATGAGCCATATTTGTATTATAAAAAATAAACAATAAACATTCTCTCATTTCAGGAAAAACAAAATCATAAACACTGATCCCCTTTCAGCCACACCCAGAGATGCGGAAGCATACAAGTTTCCCTGGAAAAGCCTGGCAGACTGTCTTTCAGCCACGTCCCCTTCCTCACCCAGGTGAATTTACTGTACCCACGACCTGACCTCTAGCCTTATGAGTCAGAACTCTGGTTTTCGTGAGTCCCTGGAAAGCCCAGACACAATCTCATAAACCGGACTCAAAGCGGTCCAATGGATTCAATCAGGACAATGAGAAATAACAGTCATGTGAGCTGGAATGGGTTCTGCCCTTCTCAAATTCTCTTTCAGGAGGCAAATCTTCAAAAAGTAGAAGATAAGAGCACAGACTTTAAGAATTCAACATACCTGCCTAAGTTCAAATCCCGACTGTGTCAGTTACTATGGTGTAAACTGGACAAGCTGTTGAACCTCTCTGAGTCTCCATTTTCTCACCAGTAAAGGTAGGATACTAACATTATCTCCTAAGATTCTGTGTGGAGTAAATGAGATGATGAACCTAAAGCAGCTGGTAGAAGTCATCTTGATTGTTTCTGCTTTTGCTTTGGCTGGTGAGGACAAAGTGGATGCAGCAGGCTGGATGCAGTCAACATCGGAGGCCTTATTCCAGAAGTTTAGTTTTTCACCCTAACAAAGAACTCTCAAAATACAGTGACACAAAGAATATGGACACTTATTCCTCCTTCATGTGGTGGTCCAGGGTAGGTTGGTGGGTTTCTCTGTTCCATGTGGTCACTCAGGAATCCAAGACGCCGTCTACCTCTGTCATGGGTTGTTGTCTTCATTTGGAAGTTGAAGTTGGGTCCCAGGTCTATTGGAAGGAGAGCTTGTGGAGGAGTACATGTGCAATGTTTTAAAAGCTAGGCTGGTAGCGAGATACTTCCTCTCACCTTCCATTGAGGACCTAGGCATATGACCATACTTAGCTGCAGGGAGGTCTGGAAACAGAGGTGTTATCCCAGGTTCCCCAGCTAGGGATTAATTACTGCTGAGGAAGGGAAGAAACTGTTGGTGGACAAGTAGCCATCTCCCCCACAATCGGTCTTGCCAATCGGGCTAGAAATATTCTGAGTCCATTAGCTACTCCTTGTCTCCACTTTAGGGAAGGTTTTGCTACTAGGCCTTAGGGCCAGGAACCATTGAAGTTCTTTGACTAAGTTTCATCTTTCCTGTCAGGATGTGCATGGAGTTGGCCAAGTTTTGCTTCTCTAATTGTCTTCTAGGATTTGACAATCCACTCTGCTCTATCCCACACTCTTTCTCTAGATTTGCCAAACTTGTGCTATCACAGTCAAATTTTGGTGGCTGGAGAACAAAGGTGATTTGGTCAGTTGACATTTACACAGATGCATGGATTTTAGTGTGTGTGTGTGTGTGTGTGTGTGTGTTTGAATGGTGCACTGTGGTCCTCAGGAATGGTATGTGAGGACAAAGGTTACTGGGAAATGAGTTAGAGTGAGATTTTTCTGGCCCCAGAAAGGTTGGTGAGGGAGAGAGTGTGAGGGATCTTATCAGAGCTGTATACACAGTGAAGGTCACTCAGAGGGAGACCCAAAGCAGGCAGAGGGTATCATATAACATTTAAAGTAGGAAGGTTTGTGGCTTTCCCCAGCCTCAAACTGCCTTGCCTGGGGACTGAAGATATTTCATTTTGTCCTTACAAAAACTCTGGGGCAGTGTGATGGGAGAAACAAAATGAAGGAGCTGAGATTTGCCTTGATTTCTTCATAGAAAACTAGAGTCACTTAACTAGTTAACTCCAAACCACCAGAGTATCTGCTGATAGGCAAATGGGTACAAAGTCACAAGTTTGGCAAAAGTGGCGATTGGCTATACATAGAGTGATGACATCTTAGGGGACACTCAGAAAGTGTCTCATGTCGCCCCAGCAGAGCTCAGAGCACCTTGGCACCCACCTTTTGCCTGGGACCCCATCCACCTCTACGGAGATTACTGTGTGCCGATTGTGCCTGAGATCCTGGTGTGGAGGGCTCTGTGGAAATGGGAAGTTGCTGCTGGAGGGAGTGTTGGTCCTGGGGTTTGGGAACTCCTCTGTGTAATGAGTGCTTTCCTCCCTAATGCACTATTTGCTTTTAATGTCTCCTTAGAAACCATGCATATAATACTTAACTCACCCTTGGCTCCATTCTAACACATTTTTTTGTGTAAGTCACAAGGACTGTTCTTTTCGGTTGTGGCCTTTTTCTTCCCCCTGCTTTCCCTAGGTTTCTAAAGTGTGACCATTCAAGAGGACCAAGGCCTCCTTTGTCAGGCTGAGATTTGTGTCTGTGCTCTTGGCAGGATGTGTTGTTAACTTTTGAATACTCTGGCTCTGAAGGAAAAGGATGTGCTCCAGTGACACACTTTATGTCAGAAACTTTGTTAGCCGTGGTGGCAGTCACATCAGGAGTACACAGGCCCAGCTCCATGGTGTGTGTGGGCACCCTCTGCCAAGCCGGGAGATGCACAGCCGGGGACAGGAAACCACAGCACCCCGCCTCCATCGTCTGCACCCTCAGTGGACGCTCCCACATCTCTCATTGTCCTTCCTTCCCACCTTCTCCTGTTCCCAAGCTGCTGCACAATCACCGCCTCTCGTTATTCCCAAAGGAGGGAGTGGTGGCCTGAGCTCTGGGCCAGGCCATGTGAGGGAGGACAGTGCCGGAGAAAATGCCTAAATCTCCTTTTCAGTCACTGCTACTTCCATATGGACCAACTCTGAGGAGACTAGACTTGTCCCTGTGAGTCCCGGGGGACTTAGCTGAAATGAGCTTCAGTTGCAAAATGATTAGTGTGTTGATTATGGTTACAGGACAGAGAGGCCTCAGCCATCATCAGGAACCCTTCATTACTTATGGCTGGAAACACAGCCACCGTATTTCAGGGGTACCTTTTTTCTCCATGAGAATTGTTTTCTTCTTTTTTTTTTTCTGATTATTTACGTAATAGAAATTTATTGCAAAGAATTCAGAAAATATAGAAAGGTGTAAAAGAAAATGGTAACACCCCCTCCCATCCCAAATAATCTCTGTTAACAGTTTGGGGGGCAAACCTCCTAGGTGTTTCCTGTGCATGCACATGTATTCATACTTTTAAAAAAATGTGACTTGACTGTTGAAAGCTGAACTAAAACTTAGAGGTATGAGATAGCAACCCTTTATTATAGCTCGTGGATTCTCTGGATGAGGAGTTTGGACAGGAGACAGCAGGGATGGCTTGTATCCGCTCCGTGAAGTCTGGGAAGCCCTCAGCTGGGAAAACTCAAATGGCTGGGAATGACTGGAATGTATGGAACCATCTGGATGCTTCTTTCTTCACTCACAGAGGTAGCACCTGGGTTGGGCCCACTGGAATTCTGAGCTCACTGGGGAGTATTGACTGCAGTACCTGCACGTGGCTTTTCCCTGTGGCGTGGGCTTCCTCACAACGTGGTGGCCTCAGGTAGTTGGACTTCTTCTATGACGCTCAAGGCTCTAAGAGTGAACAAGGGCGACACTGAGTGGCCTTCTGTGATCTGGGAGTCATATAACATCACTTCTGCCATACTGTGTTGGTCAAAGCAGTCACCAGCCCACTGCAATTCAAGGAGAGGGGACAAAGACCCTGTTCTCCATGGAAAGGGTGCCGAAGAACTTGCAGCTGTGTTTCAACAGCCTGACAATTTTTTATTATTTTTATTTTTCTGACAACTTATATTTAAAAACATGGGCAGTGTGCTGGTTTGAATTGTGTCTCTCAAAAAGGTACATTCCCATCCTAACCCTCAGTACCTATAAATGTGACCTTATTTGAAAATACAGTCTTTGTAGATGTCATCAAGTTGAGATGAGGCCATACTGGATTAGGGTGGGCCTTAATCTAATGACTGGTGTTTTTATAAGAAGGGAGAAAGTTGGGTGCAGGCACATAGACACTCAGGGAGAATGCCCTGTGATGATGGAAGGAAACACTGGAGTGATGTACCCATAAGCCAAGGAATACCAGGGCTGCCAGCAGCCACCAGAAGCTGGGAAGAGCCAAGGAAGGATCCTCCTCCTTCAGAGACAATGTGACCCTGCTGACACCTTGATTTTGAACTTCTGGCCTCTATAACTGTAAGAGAACAAATGTTTCTTGTTTTAGACCACCAAAGTTTGTGACAAGCACTTTATTACAGCAGTCCTAGGAAACAAACTGTTACCTATATCTATTAGATCTGCATTATCATTTCAGCTGCACAGTAACCATCAAGTGCCTATGAACATTTATTTAATGAGTTTTAAATAGGTCTAAGAAATGTAGCCCAATAATTAGCATGAGATTATGTTCTGTGCAGCTAAGTGGATGACTCATGGGCTCTCTCATGGACTTCTTTGTTTCCTGCCCAGGGCCTAGCCCAGTTAGCACGGAGCTAACATTCAGCAAGTATCTATGAACGTTTCACCGCTCACAAGAGAGTATCGGAAAATACAAAGTCTGATCACCTATAAGCACTGTATTAAGGGATTCCAAATACCAAGGATATTAAGGATTTAAAGAAAGTCCTGCCACTTCCCGAAATCTGCTTGGTTAGGTGACTTGAGAAACGAATATACACTTCAACCTAATAGAGCATTCCTGTGAAACATCAAATATTTTTAAGTGAAAGTGATGATAGTATTAAAAGGTTAAAACCCATTGTTGTTTACAGATACTTCCAGTTCCTCAGCCACAGAAGTTTGAAACACTTAAGCCTCTTTGCCAAGTGTTAAGAAATGATTCAGAAATGAAATCCTGGCCAACAACTACGGGAACATCCTCCATGCGTTACCTATCTTTTCTGCTGTATCTTTATGACTTCTGGGTTGGATGAAGCCCCCTGTGCTTTCCTTCTCAAGTTCAATTCTCCTTTTATTTCTTGGCCCCATTTGTGACTTCCTCTACGCAGAAGGGCGGGCATGGGGCAACCTGGAAAGGAACCATGCACCCCTCCCTGTCTCTCATGGTGCCAAGTCAGAGCAACAGGCGATGTGGTTAGCTCTAAGTTATGAGGCTGCAGGCCCTTCCAGCTCATCATTTCTTTTCTTTTATAAACCAGGAGTCTTCTCAGAAAGTGCCTGTAGGAAAAAATAAAGCCCGTTTTAATTCTAAGATACTTGCAGTGCTCTTGCCATTTTCAAAGGTTTTTTTTTTAGTTTTTTTTTTTAGCTCCTCTAAACACAATGGTGTGGACAGCTGTTTGGAGCACAGCAAACACTGCTGTGAGTCCTTAGCTCTCATTTCAATACAGAAATCTGATGAAAACTGCTGCATGATTAGGTGCTCCTGAGGACTAACTGATTGGATTGGGTTGAGATCTTTTCATTCTCTGAATATTTGGGAGGTAGTGTCCTTGAGAAATGCCCTCGTAGAGACGTCCCCATTTCTCTTGGGACAAATGAAAATGTGTCTGCTCTCTGGATGGAGAGTTCTTTTTGCTGCCCCAGAGGCCGAGCTTTGTGTCTAGATGGACAGGGCTTCTCCTTAGCTCAGGATCCTGCAGGGTCCTGGCTGGTGGTACCCTGGCTGGTGAGACAGTGTGTGTGAGAAACGGGAGATTCTGTGTGCTGCACACTTGTCATTTCTGCTACTCACAGACGATAGTCGGTTGTTTGTTGGGTCTCTATTATGTGTCAGGTTCTAGGATCAACCAGAAAACCAACCTGGCTGGAGGGAAGAGTGCTGTTCAGTCACTAAGT